ATAGATTTTATTTATCTATTGACAGGTACACCGGGCGATTGGAGTCATATTGTGAAACAGATAGGCATGTTCACATTTACCGGTTTGAATACTAATCAAGTTGCGTTCATGACAAAGGAGTACCATGTTTACATGACATCTGATGGGTACGTAAGAAGAAAAAAAAAATATCAATTTTCGCCTTGTAATAAATTTATTTAACTTTCGATATCGGAGCTGTGAGATATAATTTGCATTTCTCGTTCGGTTTTATTTTGTTGCGCAGGAGAATTAGCATGGCGGGTTTGAGTTTGAAAACAATACCTCATCTTGCAGATGCCATACATGCTGCTGTCACGAACGTTGTGTAAGATCGATTTCGAGTTTTGAGTTCGCTCTTTTTTCTTCTACTTATGGTTTAAACTTTTGCTAAATAAAAAAAACTGAAATGGGATTTTCGTTTTACAGCCATTTCTTTTTTCTGTACTAGAATTCGAAGATTTCTGTGAATTTTCGGCTGAATAAAATACTCTTGCTTTAATTAATAAATAAATTCGACATTAGAATAATTTACATTGTATTAAAGAAAAATTAACAATATAAAAAATAATTAACTAAAGCTCATCAGTAATGAGAGAAATCCTGAACAAAATCAATTGCAGGCCTCTCAACTAATTTGCTTGTTATTTATTTAATTAATCTGTAATTATGTATTCTATTATATTATCTCCTTAATCACTCTTTGTTGTTCTAATTAATTAATTAATTAATTAATGACGTGGAGTGGGACATCTCAAACCACTAATCTCAATCTTATCTATATACAAATACTTCTTAATCATAGCACTACTATTACTAGATTTAGTACTCCCACCTTTCTCCTCCGAATCTTCCTTATTCTCCAAATTGCCACTCGAACCCTTCTTCTTCAACTCCCCCTCCGCCGGCTCGAGATTCCACCCCATGAAATCTGACAGCGTCAGCGACGACGGCGTCTCCGACGCCGAGCTCAGCCTCTCCCCCGCCGCCTCGTCTCCTCCGCCGCCGACTATGGGGCTGCTCAGTATAGTCGTCGGCGACAGCATCGAATCGTAAATACCACTGGACTGCTCTGTTTTCGGCGCCGCGAGCGACGGATCTTGTGCCAGCGCATCGGCGTACAGAACATCCTCGATTCTTGACATCACCGTGTTCGCCAAGCTTTCCAGCACCCTCGAGTAGCTCTCGAGAATCGACAAACCTACATCCTGGTATGTACATTCACCAAAAAACGAAGTCTTAGGTTGTGATCGGATTTTACGGCTAAAAAAAACAAGTTTTTTTTAGGGCTTACTTTGTTGAATTGGATTTTGCTTATGTCGAGTGAGGATTGGGGAAGTCCCGGAAACTGGTGTTTCAACAGAAGCAAAATCGTTTGAGCTCTTTCTTCGAAAAGCTCTCGTTTTTCGGGGCTAATAGCCAATCCCCATGCAGCTTTCCCACCATCTTTGTGGTGCAGTTTCCTTTTCCATATCACTATAGATGCTTCAATTCTGTCTTTTAAGCCAAGAACTTTGTGCTCCGACGAAAGATCCATCGTCGAAAGAAATTGTTGCGGGTCGAAAAACTCGACCGTTATTCCTCTATATATCGATTCACCCAGGCTCGATTTACCATTCTAACAAACACCACACAAAAAAAAAAAAAGACTCCATTTTTAAGTATTTTGATGAGGAATTAAAGAATCGAATTTTCTTTGTGAAGAGTTGGTTCGTTTGTTGTTGTATACCTTGGGAAGGGATTCGATGTAGCTTTCGGGAATATCCATATCGGAGAGTATGTGAGCGTTTATAGCCATGGAAGCTTTCAAGACTTGATTAACCGATTCCTTTTGCTTCTGCAAAAACTGGCGAGACTCTTCCGATAGTCCGTTTGGCGGAACTTTGACTGTTGGCAGCCACCATTTCTCGTTTCTCTGGCTGCCCTTCTCGGATTCTTCGGCATCTTTCGAAACGTACCAGAATTCACGCTGGCTGTTTGTGAAGTTATCCAGTGTGCCCTGCCTCAAAAAATTATCATGTAATGAGATTTACTTGTCTGGTTTAAAAACACATTTAGATACAAGATTTGTATACGTATTCCTTACGAGGAGCATTGCGTCGAGTTTTCGCAAGGCTGGAATGTTTAGAAGAAGGTCTTTTCTTTGCTGTGTCACCATTATCTATTCAAACCAGAAACACAAAAAAAAAAAAAAGAAAAAAAAAATTAGCATTCTATAATTTCATAATAAAAGGCCTAATATTTACATACATATATATATATATACCTCCATAGTTGATCCATCCTTTGCTTTCTGTTGAGAAGGAACGAATTCGACTACATAATCTGCAACCGATAAAAGCCAACCGATTTCCTTCTTCCACCTCGCCTTCCTCTCCGGAGACATTGGCTCCAACTTTGATTGTTCGCCAAAAACCGAAGCTACAATTTTTTTTGTATATATTTTAATCAAAACGCAGACAACATTTATTCGTTAAACAAACGACAATCTTTGTATAAATCGGGTTTACCAGCAAGATTAGTGATGGCATTCGAAAGCGCCAAAGC